GCGGGACTGGGGCCTGGTGAGGGCTTGGGGTGGGATTAGGGTTTGGGAGAGTTGGAATAAGGATTTGGGAGGGTTGGGGTGGAATTAGGGTTTGGGAGGTTTTTGGGGAATAAGGGTTTGGGAGGAATAAGGATTTGGGAGGTTTTTGGGTGGGATCAGGAGGGTTTCTTTGCCCCATCCCAGGGGTGGAGCAGCCAAAGCAGAAAATTTGGGAGGTTTTTGGGTGGGATCAGGAGGGTTTGTTTGCCCCCCAAATTCCAGGTGTGGAGCAGCCGAAGCAGAAAATTTGGGAGGTTTTTGGGTGGGATCAGGAGGGTTTCTTTGCCCTGTTCCAGGTGTGGAGCAGACGAAGCAGAAAATTTGAGAGGTTTTTGGGTGGGATCAGGATTTGGGAGGTTTTTGGGTGGGATAAGGAGGGTTTGTTTTCCCCATCCCAGGTGTGGAGCAGACAAAGCAGAAAATTTGGGAGGGTTGGGTGAGATAAGGATTTGAGAGGGTTGGAATAAGGATTTTGGGAGGTTTTTATGTAATAAGGGTTTTTGGGGAATAAGGATTTAGGAGGTTTTTGGGGAATAAGGGTTTGTTTTCCCCAATCCCAGGCGTGGAGCAGACGAAGCAGAAAATCTGGGAGGTTTTTGGGTGGGAGATAAGGGTTTATTTTCCCCATCCCAGGTGTGGAGCAGACGAAGCAGCTGCGGGAGGAGCCCAAGGAGGAGAAGGTTGCCAAGCCCGACGTGGTGCTGATCAAGCGGCGCCTGTCGGCCCTGGGGCAGGGCCAGGCCATCGCCGTGCTGGGAGCACACGGAACAGCCCCGGGCCACGACGAGGCCCCACAGGCCAAGAGGAGGCCAGAGCCCATCCTGCCGTCCACACAGCCACGGTGAGAGCACAGAAATACCCCAAAAACGGCCCTAAATCCACCCAGATCCCACCCCAGAGCACCCCAGCCCATCCTGCCAGCCACACAGCCACGGGGAGAGCACAGAAACAAGCCTAAATCCACCCAAAATCCACCCAGAGCACCCCAGCCCATCCTGCCAGCCACACAGCCACGGTGAGAGCACAGAAATACCCCAAAAACGGCCCTAAATCCACCCAGATCCCACCCAGATCCCACCCAGAGCACCCCAGCCCATCCTGCCAGCCACACAGCCACGGGGAGAGCACAAAACCAGCCTTAAAATACACCCAAAACCAACCCAAAATCCACCCAGAGCATCCCAGCCCATCCTGCCAGCCACACAGCCACGGGGAGAGCACAGAAACAGCCTTAAAAACCTGATAGATCTACCCAAAATCCACCCAAACCCACCCAAAATCCACACAGCCACGGGGAGAGCCTGAGAAAACCCCACAAAACCTGATAAATCCACCCCAAAATCCACCCAAACCCACCCCAAATCCACCCAGAGCACCCCAGCCCATCCTGCCAGCCACACAGCCACGGGGAGAGCCTGAAAACAGCCTTAAAATACCCCCAAACCCACCCAAAATCCACACAGCCACGGTGAGAGCACAAAAACAGCCCTAAAAACCTGATAGATCCACCCAAAATCCACCCAAACCCACCCAAAATCCACACAGCCACGGGGAGAGCACAAAACCAGCCTTAAAATACACCCAAAACCAACCCAAAATCCACCCAGAGCATCCCAGCCCATCCTGCCAGCCACACAGCCACGGGGAGAGCCTGAAAAAAACCAAAAAACCTGATAAATCCACCCCAAAATCCACCCAAACCCACCCAAAATCCACCCAGCCACGGTGAGAGCCCAAAACAGCCCTAAAAATACCCCTAAATCCACCTAAAATCCACTCAAAATCCACCTAAAATCCACACAGCCACGGTGAGAGCCCCAAAAACAGCCCTAAATCCAATCCCATTCCCATTCCAGGCTCCCAGGAGCGGGGGTCGGAAGAGCAGAATTTCCATTCCCATCCCCATTCCCAATCCCATTCCCATTCCAGGCTGCCTGGAGTGGGGGGTCAGAAGAGCAGAATTCCCATTCCCAATCCCATCCCAATCCCATTCCAGGCTCCCTGGGGCGGGGGTCATAAGAGCAGGATTCCCATCCCCAATCCCAATCCCATTCCAGGCTCCCGGGGGCTGGGGGTCGTAAGAGCAGGATTCCCATCCCCATTCCCATCCCAATCCCATTCCCATTCCCAATCCCATTCCAGGCTGCCAGGAGGGGGTCAGAAGAGCAAGATTCCCAATCCCAATCCCATTCCCATTCCAGGCTCCTGGGGGCCGAGGGTCATAAGAGCAGAATTCCCATCCCATCCCCATTCCCAATCCCATCCCCATTCCCAATCCCATCCCCATTCCCAATCCCAATCCCATTCCAGGCTCCCAGGAGCTGGGGGTTGTAAGAGCAGAATTCCCAATCCCATTCCCAATCCCATTCCCATTCCAGGCTCCCAGGAGCAGGAGGTCGGAAGA